ATCTTCGACAAGTATATGAAATTCCCCTTCCAGCTTTTAAACCCCTCACACTTTCTGTTAAAGTTTTGTTCTTGTTTCTTGGATTTGCTGCCAATTTGTAATAGTTGTTCAGTACAGAGTGTATGGCAGGTACTCTGGAATGGATAAATTATCTGGGCGCCTTGATCATCATTCCTAACAGCGTTGTCGTTGTCTGTGCTAATGATGCATTTGAAGGTACCTCTGTTTGTATATACTGAAAACCGCGTATATAGACCGAATGAAACCCCCGAGTGATAACACATACCACTCGATACCAATCTCAGTGTCCAGGTCTAGCACGGGCAATTAGAGTTGTCTTGAAACATCAAGAGCAGATAGAATATACCAGTAGAGGTCATGACCTTGATGTGGCATTAAGGCTCCAATTTTGTCTTATTTGGGTATTTGGTCTATCGCACAAGATCACCCAACATTCAGATTGATGCAAAGAAATCAGGAAATCCCACATAATATCCGCTATTCTACGTAAACTGCTAGAAAGACATGTGAACGTATAACGACTGAAAGTTTAATACGCTGGAGGTTGTATAGTCTCCGTCATGACGCTGTGACCGTATTCCTGTTCCAGCTTCGACGAAGCGGCAGCAAGAGTGGCCTCTGAAGGAAGATTGACAATCGTCAGATACAAAATATTCTGCAAAAGGCCATGGTCAGTCAATAAACAACACCAGCAAGCCAACAGGAAAGATGAGAAATGAGTTAGGCTTACGCTCTTGATGGATCTTTTACCACCTTCCAATGCCCTTCTCTTCTTGCGGAACTGCTCCAAACGAGGCTCATAGTCCTTCTCTAACCGCCTCAACTCCCGATCTGTCTCGGATTGGCTGCGTCGGTCGTTCAAGATGCGCTCCCTCCGGTCGTTGTACTCGTCAAGGACTCTCCTCTCCTCGCTATCAATTCTGCTGGCCTCCTTCTGCGCACGCTGCTCTGGGGTAGGACTCAACACGCCGCCGGAAAGCACACCGATGAGGCCTCCGTTGACAGCCGGATGATTGGGGTCAAGGTACCGGTTACTGAAGCCGCGACCAGCCGGCCCGCTCAGCACGTCGTTGCCGTTCTCGGCGGTGTACTTTGCGCGAGCACGACGGTCGAGGTAGTCGTTGAAGTTGTCAAAGGCCTTCTTGGCCTTGTCCTTCGTCGAAGTCTTACCTCCAGCGGGGGCGACACCACTGTTGGAACTTGGTGACTCAGGCGGAGAATTGGACAGGTACTTCTTGTGTTCGCGGTGGTTCTCTATGTAGACAAGCGGCGCGACGGCTGTAGGCAGACCGCCAGGTCCCTGCGACTCGCCGGAAACGTGGTTACGCATCCACGCACTGCCGCCGCCATTGCTTGAGCCATTGACAGCCAGTGAGGCAAGCTGCTTGAGACGGGTGGGATTCTTAGGCTCCTTGAGCTCAGGCACATGTTTCATAATCATGCAGAACAGACCGTGCGGTGCGAAAAGCTCGCGGTTGTACTTATCCATGACGTTGTTGGTCCTAAGAAAGGGGGGCTTATCAGCATGTGGCTTAAGAGGAGAGTCGTCTTGTTGCACTTACTTTCCTCTGACATAGCCCTTGTTGGCCGCCCAGGCGCCCGCTTGCACTGCCGCGGCGACGCCCATGACGATGACCTCGGGCGTGAAGCCCACACCAAGAGAGACGACTTGCACGCCGGCGAGGTACTTGTTGCCCTCCAAAGCCGTGTTAGCCTCATCGATGAAGCGCAGGAACGACCTTTGGTCGATGCCGCATGACTCCAGAGATGGCGCATAGGCGGCCATGAAGCCTCGCTCCTGAGACCCTGGACGCTGCTGCGGGATCACGATGGGCAGAGGCAGTGGCCCTCCCATAGTGGTCATCCCAGCTTGTGAGTCGTACCTGGGTTCTGAGGTGGGTTGCCCTCCAAACATGGGATTGGGACCTGGCTGAAGCTGTCCGTACGGTGTTTGTTCATTTTGAGACTGGCCATACTGGAGTTGACTATATTGGGGTTGCCCATATTGGGGTTGACCATACTGTGGCTGTTCGTAATGAGGTTGTTTTGTTGTGGGAGGTCCATACTGAGGCTGTCCCATGGGAGGGGCCCCGTACTGAGGACCTCCAGGTTGAGGGTGGGCGTACTGTACTTGATCGTATTGAGGCGGGTAGCTAGGCTTGTCGTATGGTGATTGTGAGTGCAGGCGGTCTTGCCCATGCATGGGCAGCTTCTCGGACTGTGTGTACATGATGCTGGAGCTGATCCCGTTTGCTGGAGAGTCGCGACACACCAGTCAGTACTCGGTTGACTCTAGCGTCAGATCGTAAAGGCGTCCCATAGTGCATCTGGGATTCTAGGCATGGCTTACAGTGGACCCCAATCCTAGTGGATACAGCTGGTGCTAGCGATACGAAGTGGGGAAGAAATAGGTTTAGTCTTGGGAGTTTGTGATTAGGGAAAGGTGGAAGGGCAAAGACGAAATAGAGACAAAAGAGATTTTGTTAATGATGGCCAAGAGAGGGAAAATGAGATGTAGGAAAGAAGATAAAAAGAAATGATTCGGATCGTGGATCCAAGATGGACAAGATGCTCTCACCCATAGTGAATCTGATGCCGAGAACCGAACATCTTGCATACCCTTTTGGGATAAGGTCGTGGGGTCTTTTTAGGCGGCAACAAACCAAGCACTGTGATCGACACCGACCCGCTTGCCAAGCTAGGGGATTTAGCCGCCTGTCATTGGTGGAGAGATAAGCTTCCTGGGCTTCCAAGGTACCTTTTTCTCAGGGGCATGTTTCATTGGTTAGCTATTTATCAGCTCCCCACATAGTGTATCCCGCATTACCGCCTTAAAAGGCTTGACCTGGAGCCAAAGTGGTAAAGTGGTGGTAAAGTGGAAAAGTCGTGGAAAAGACCCTGGTCTCCCCCTCCTGTTTGAGTTAGCAGAGTGCAAGTGGCTCTTTGAAAACTGTTGCCTACGGAGTACTCCGTACCTGTTGTTTCTTTGTCCTTTTTCCCAGTTTCATTGTGGCAGCGGGCATTGCTCCTAATTGAGGCAATTCTTGGCACTGCGGCTTGGACGTGACACAGACACATGCATCCACTATTACCGCATACTTGCAGCCACGCCGCCCTACCATTTTGGCAAATTCTCTTGGTGTCTGTCGACCCCCAACAACATGGGGCCGGCTTTCCATGCCCGACACGGCAAACGGGGATTCATTACGCCAGTGGTGTTTGGCATTGGCTGACTGACGCCCACTAGCAAGTGGGATGTGTCGTACCAAGTGCCGACGGAACAAGTCGTGTCATGCATGAACAACGAAATGTATATGAGTAACGTGTTGGAAGCTTCAGAAAGCCAGAGAGAAGACAAGACATTCCATCAATCAATCAACTCAACTCACACTCATCAAACCACCAAAGTTTGATTCTATCTTCACCAGCCATACCTAACAATATACCGCAAGACCACCCACACATCGACACAATGGCTGCTCCCGCTTCCAAGACCGTCCAGGACCTTAACGGCTCTTGGGCTGTGGTAAGAGACACCAAATCCTCCCACGTCTGTGTCACACAAGTCCTATATGCTAACCATACCTACAGAACGAAAGCCTGTCCGAGTCCGCTGCAGAGATCCTCAAGGTCCAGGGCGTTAACTGGCTGACCCGCAAGGTCATTGCTATGGCCAACGTCACTCTCACTATTGACCAGCGCAAGGACGAGAACGGCAACACCCTGCTCGACATTGAGAACAAGCCCAGCGGTGGCCTCCCCGCCACCCAGGAGAAGCGTGTTCTCAACTGGCAGCCCGTCGAGCTTAACCACGGCCTCTTCGGCAACATTCGCGGTCGCTCCCGCATCTGCAAGCTCGCCGACCTCGAAGACGACTACCTCCGCCAGGGTTGGGAGGACGGCACCGAAGAGGTCATGCACTTCAAGACCGAGCACCTCGACTCCAAGGGCGTCGTCACCCAGCAGGTCGCCGGCTTCATTGTCCTCAACGGCACTCGCTACCACGCCAGGCGGGTCCTGGTCACCAAGGACGACGGCGAGAGGCTTGAGGCCAAGCTCGTTTATGACTACCAATCTTAGATATAGAAACCCGGTGTGTACGTATTGGCGATTGTACGACAGGGTGGCTACATCAAAGGGGACAGTAAACCAGCCTTGAGGCGATGTACATAGATCTTTTCATTTGTCTTGACGATACCGTTGTTACATAAATTTACGAAGCAATCTGTGCTTTCTTGAGTCCCTTACCAGATTCACTGGGAAGCACGTTGAAATACATGTCTCTGCGTGTTTTCTATCTGTCAAAAGTAGCGCATATCTTTCAGTGATCACAAGTTGCTAGGCAATGGACAGCTCAGAACATATGAGACTGGCAAGGCGTTTGTACATGTCCCGCAAAATAAATGAATCAAGACCTCTAAGGTGAAGCGTTTCCGACCACTGGAAACCTCAAATGGTTCCTGTGCAATATAAAAATCGCGTACTGTAGTAGCCAATTCATAGTGGCTTGACTTTGCCAGAAAAAGACGAGATACATTTACACCCACTCTTATCTAAGAGCAGCTTTCATTACTTGCAAAAAAAGGCAGAATTGAAATGACGAACGATGTTCACCATGGTGAAGACGTTACTATAGTGAAACTAGAGACAATTTATTGGAATAGACGTTTAAAGTCTTTGCCGTCACGCAGCCAGCGGAATGGACAAATGTGAAACAATAGATTATATGATTCGATATCTCCAGCTTCTCAGCTCATATTAAACGCATTGCGCTTCAAAGCAAAGTAAAACTTATAAAATATTATATCTTAAGGTATCACTGCAGAAGAGAGGAAAAGTTTTGTACCAAGTCTTTTATAACGCTGAAGCAAAAGCTAACGTAAACATAAGGATTTCAAGCATAGGAAAAAAAGGTTCAGGGAGAGTGATGAGTGAAGCTATATACAAGAACAAACACGCCAGATAGAATGGTCAACACTCTACCGCGATAGCGTAGCGAGGCCCTTGCCCTCGGCATCCTGCAGGACCATGTTCATGGTGCTGAACTGGTAGCGGAAGCCAGCGATCTTGGCCTTGCCGACCCAGACGTGAGCCGGGATCTTGGGCCGATCGCTCTGGGCGTACTCGGGCAGCGAGCCCAGCCTCTCGACAACCTTGGCAATGTCCATGCGGACGGAGCTCAGGTGCGAGTACTGCTTGACATTTCCGCTGGAGAGCTCGTTGTCAGTCGAGGCCAGGGCTGTGAAGGCGTGGCCGACAATGTCGCGAGACAGACGGTCAACGGGGATCAGGTCGTAGTGACCACCCCAGGTGGTCGAGTTTGGCAGCTCGGTCATCTTGGCGGCAACATCGACGAACTCCTGGAGGATCTGGTCGAGCTCCTCGCCCTGGGCCTCACGACCCTCGGGCACGGGCAGTTGGCGGTGGATGTGGACGGGGAGGTGCAGCTGATTGGCGTACTTCTCGAGGAAGCGTTCACTTGCCCACTTGGAGGCGACGTAGCCCTGGGAGCCGTCGGAAGCAGGCTTGATGGTGGCGGCCTCAGTGCCAGAGAGGAAGTGGAAAGGCACGACACGGCGGTAGTCGCGTAGGGAAGCGGCAGACATGAGAGCGAGCTCCTTAGTGGACTGGACGTTGATGGCCTGGACTTGGTCATAGGTGCTGAAGAAGGACCGGTTGGCGCCGCTGTGGATGATCATGTCGGCCTGCTGAGCGAGAGCGGCAAACTCGGTCTCGGACAGGCCGAGGCGAGGAGCGTTCAGATCACCCTCGTGTACGGAGATCTTGGACGAGGAAGTGACGACGGCGTTGAACTTCTGGCGGTGGGGCAGCTCGTCAGAGAGGGGACGATGGGCAATGCAGTGGACACGGCCGATCTTGGAGTCCTTGATGAGGCGCTCTAAGATGTGACGACCAATGAAACCAGAGGCACCGGTGAGGATGACAGTCAGGGGTTGGGCGTTCTTGTGGGTGGTAATGGAGGAGGCGTCAGCGGGAGATATCTGGAGCATGTCATCAGGGAGGGCAGTCTCGAGGTCCCAGTTGATGCCAGAGTTGGCCAAGAGCTTATCTAGCAGGGCACCTAAATCAGAGAGTTTGCTAGACTCGATGATCTGGAAGAGAGGAACGACTATGCCAAAAGCCTCGCGGATGCGAGACTGGACGCGGACGGTAAGCAAAGAGTTACCTCCGAGCTGGAAGAAATCGTTGTTCGAGTCGATGACCACGCCATCCATAACGGACTGGGGAAGGATCTCCTGCCACAGATCCCAAATGGCTTTCTCGGTGTCGGTGACCTCGGTAGAGATCTCGGCATTGTCGACCTGGGATTGGACAGGGATGGTCGCAATAGCCAGCCTGTTAACCTTTCCGTGGGAGTTCAGGGGGATGCCGTCAAGGGCAATGAGCATGTTGGGCTTCATATACTGGGGCAGGGGCACCTTTTTCAGAAGCTGGGCGAGGTAAGTCTTCTGCTGGTCGGTCAGGTAGCCATCAGCAAACTCAACGAAGCCGACCAGGTAGCTCTCCTGACCCTCGCCGCGCACGTTGGCAACAACGCGAGACAGGACGCCGTTGGAGGCGCGGACAATGGTGGCCTCGATGTCCTCAAGCTCGATACGGAAACCGCGAAGCTTGATCTGAGTGTCGCCAGTGATGCGGCCCAGGACAACGAGGGTGCCGTCGGTCATGAGGTAACCCTTATCGCCGGTGCGGTAGGCGCGGTTCCAGCCCTTAGCAACGTGAGCAGAGGAGGCGTTCTTGTCCTCGATGAACTTCTCGTTGGTTAGGTCGGTGCGCTTGTAGTAGCCGACGGCGGTACCGGCACCACCAATGAGGATTTCGCCCTGGACTCCGGTGGGAACAACATTAAGCTGCTTGTCCACAATGTAGAAGGAGTAGTTGGGAAGAGCAGGACCGGCAGGGATGAGAGTAGAGTCGGCAGGGTAGGCAATGGGCTGACGAGTGCACCAGACGCTGTTCTCGGCAGGACCATAACAGTTTTGGATCCTGAGGTTGGGCAGGTTGAGGGTTGCAAAGGAGTCACGCAGGGTGGCATTCCAGCCCTCTCCACCAACGTTGGCGCGGCGCCAGCTCGTGGCCTTGGACAGGGTGGGAGCAGCGTAGTTGATCCAGTTGGAATACTCGGACGGGGTGGCCATGGTGTAGGTGATCTGGTTGTTGGCGATGAGCTCAGCCATGGCCTGGGGGTCGGAGCGCTGGGCCTGGGAAGCGACGTAGAGCTTGCCACCGTTGACGAGAGAGGTGAAGATCTGGTCAAGAGAGATGTCGAAGCTGTAGGCGCTCTGCTGAACGGCGTTAGGGCGGCCCAGGTTCCAGCTCAGGCTGTCACCCTCGAAGAGGTTGAGCAAACTCAGGTGGCGGACCTCGATACCCTTGGGGACACCGGTGGAACCACTGCTGGAGACGATTATGGCAGACGAATCACCCTTGGACAGGTTGGGACGGCGAGTGGGAGAGCCGTTCGCCTCACGGACCTGGTCAACATTGATGGTGCTGGCGCTGGCGGGGAGAGCGAGCTGGGCGACATCGGCGGCAGTGGAGCTGTCACAGAGCACGGCGCTGGGCTCGACAACACCGCAAGTGGCTGCCAGACGGGGCAAGCCGTTCCGGGGGTCAAGAGGTACGTAGACGGCACCGCTGCGCCAGATGGCGAGCAAGGAGCAGATCCACATGGCCGAGGGCTGCTGGAAAACACCGACCTTATCACCGGGTTGGATGCCAACCTGGAGGAGCTCCTCGGAGATCTGGTCGACTGTGCGGTCCATGGCTTTGTAGGTCATCGAGTCCCCGAGACCGTCGCGCAGGGCAATATCGTTGGGGAACTGGGCAGAGACTTGGTCAACCTTGAGGGACAGGGTCTCGGGCCACTGGCTGTCAAACTGGGGGCCTACACAGATGAATGACAATACAGTTAATCTGGGTTCAATAGTAGCAAGAGTATGGGACAGTTCATCTGATACTTACCACGTCCAGCCTTAATGGCAGCCGTGACATGCTCATCCCGGTAGAGGGGAGCGGAGGCGATGGAGGTGACGGGACCCTTAGCACACTGGTGCAGCAGGTGCATGTAGCTGTCCATCATGGCTTGCGTGTGGTGGCCGTTATACAGCGACTTCTGCGTCTGCCACTTGATGGTGATGTCCGAGGCGGCGTCGTCAGTGACGTCGAGAACGACGTCGTAGGCGGTAGCACCGAAGTTACTCTCACCCTCGGTCTGGGACTCGAGCATGGGAGGCGTTTTCAGGGCGAGCTGACGGTAGTCCAGGAAAACCTGGAACATGGGGCTGTGGGAGGAGGAGCGAGGCACCTCCAGCTCCTGCAGCAGCAGGTCAAAGGGCAGGGCGGAGTGGTTGAGGGCAGAGTATGAGGTCTGCTTGGCAGCGTTGAGGAGCGTGGAGAAGGTCTCCTTGCCCGTGAGGCCGCCGAAACGGAGAGGGATCAGGTTCAGCAGGAAACCGACGGTGGCTAGAGTTTTGATGTCCTTGCGGTTGGCATCGGCGATACCAATGCACAGGTCGTCAACCTCGAGCCAGCGGGTGAGGAAGAGGCGGAACGTGGCAAGGAAGAAGTGGAACGTGGTGCAGCGATTCTGGCGGCAGAGGATGCGGATCTTCTGCGCAATCGCCGAGTCGAGCACCAGCTCGACCTCCTCGTGCTCGTACTTGGTCTGCGGGAGACGGGGACCGACGCCAGGGAAAGGGAAGAGAGGCAGAGGGTCGGGCAGCGTGGTGTACTTATTCTTCCAGAATACAATGTCGTCCTGCAGGCGACCGCTCTCAATGTCCTTGCGCTGTTGGATAGCCAGATCGGTAAACTGAGAGGCAATCTGAGGCACGGGCTTGCCCTGGTAGAACATGTCCATGTCGCGGATCATGAGGTTGAAGGAGAAGCCGTCAATGGCAATGTGGTGGACGGCAAAGATGAGGTGGTGCTCGCGGGGGCCGACAGTCAGCAGCTGCATACGAATGACCTCACCGTTCTCGATGTCGAAATTGTACTTGGACACGTCCTTGTGGGCCTTCTCGGCCTCACTCTCGTGGGCAATCTTGCTGACTTCGAGCCGGAGCTTGGAGTCGGCCATGACACCCATCATGGGCTCGCCCTCCTCGTCGACGTAGTAGGCAGTGCGCAGGGCCTCGTGACGGGCACCGACCTTGCGGACAGCCTCCTGAACACGAGCCACGTCAACCTGACCAGTCAGGCGCGTGCGGACAATGATGTTGAAGCAGCTGGCATCTTCGAGGTACTGGCGGAGGAAGCAGAAGCGAGAGCAGCCGTGGGTCATCTTCTCGACGCGGACAAAGTCGGGACGAACGACAGCCGGCGCAGCAGCGGCAGCGTCAGTCTCGACCTTCTCGTCGGCGGTAGGCTTCCCAGTGACAGAGCCCTCATCAAGGTCGGTGGTGGCAGGGCTGTCATCATCAGAAAAGATAGGCTCATCGTCAGAGGGAGCAGCGCTGGCAGCCTCAGCAGGTGTTTCGGTATCGACCTCGGGCTCCTCCACGGCAGCGGCGGCGCCGCCCAAGTTGGGGGCAATGGACGTTGATAGGTTGGCAACAGTGTCCTCAACCAGATCAGCAAGAGTGGCACCACCCAAAATCTTGATGATGGGAATGTCGTGATCAAACTCGCTACTGAACCAAGAGCGCATGTCGACGGCGACGAGAGAGTCGACACCCATCTCGACAATGGCAACATCGGACAGGACGCTCTCCGAGGGCGGCAGGTCGAGCTTCTTGTGAAGCATGGCCTGTAGGGCCGTCAGGATGATATTGAATGCGTCCTTGTCGGTGGCAGCCTCCTGCAGCTGGGCCTTTGTAGACAGGGCACCCTCAGCGCCCTTGTTGCCACCCTCGCGAGCGCTCTTGTCAATGACGTAGTGGCTGAACTTGGGGTCCTCCCACCACTTGGGCGGGTTCTTGTCGGTCTTGGGGTTGACGAACTTGAGACCAGCAGAGACCTCGGGGTCGCGGCCGGAGTCGGGAGGACCGGCCATGACCGCCTCGGCAAAGAAGTACTTGTAGTCGAGCTCGGACATGATACCGTAGCCCATGATGTCCAAACGGTTGAGAATGTTGTGGTCGGTACGGGTGATGTAGCCAATACCGTTGATACCACCCAGGTTCATGACACTGGCGCACTGGCCGCGCTGGCGACGCTGGTGGGCCAGGCTGACCATGAAACCATTGCCGGCAGCGTAAGAGGTCTGACCAATGTTGCCAGTGATATACACCAGTGAGGAGAAGAGGATGAAAAAGTCGAGATCGACGTTAGCAAACAGTTCGTCCAGATAGACGGTACCATCGATCTTGGGGCCCAAAGCCTCATTCATGGTGGTCGCATTGGACTCCATGAAGAGACCATCACGCATAATTAGGGCCGCGTTGGCCACACCCGCGATCGGGGGCTGGGTCGTGCAGATCTCCTTGTACACGCCCTGCAAGCTCTCGCGACTGGTGATGTTAAGCGGGTACGCCTTGACCGAGGCGCCAAAGTTGGTCTCGACCTTGTCCAGCCAGCGCTGGTCGATATTGGGGCGACGGGAGGACAGGGCAAAGTGCCTGGCACCGCGCTCCATCATGAACTCGCAGGTGGACAAACCCAAGCTACCAGTCATACCAACAAGGAAGTAGGTGCGGTCAGATCGGAACCGCACCTCGTCCATGGCGAGGGTTAAGTTGGCAAGGAAAGGAGTAGGGTCAGTCCAGTCTATGGTGGTCAGGGGCTCACCTAGAGTCTGGTTAGTGGCAAGCTGCTGCACAAAGGTATTGGCAACCTGGCCAAAGGCAACCGACGAGGCCTCAGAGACAGCCTTGTCATGGGCGTCCTTAAGGGCCTTGGCGAGTTCACCCTGGGTCGTATCCGAGTAGAGGACGGACTGCGAAGGGAGGTAATCTGAGAGAGTGCGGCAGCGAGCGCGGAACGGCAGCTGGGCTTTAAGGCGGTTCACAACCTCGCTACCTTCGCTAGCGGGAGAGAAGTTGACGAACAGGCTCGTGTTAGCCTGTACTAGCCTGCTCAGGTCACGACCGGGCGTGTAAGCGTGGACGTATTGCCAGTAACCAGTGGTCTCCTTGCTGGTGGTCGTGAAGACGACCTGGGCGCCTGTCTTGCGGGCCTTCTCGCGGAGAAGCTCGGCCACGACGACGGGCGCCTCGTGGAAGACGAGTCTATCGCGGGAAGTGGACTTCTCTAGGAGAGCCGAGGCAAGTAGCGTGGCACCGATAGAAACGAGCAGGGTGCGACGCTCATTGGCAGCGACATTTACGACCAGGAGGCGGGACTCGGGAACGGTGAGAAGAGACTGGTGCTGGTCAGTCAGCGCGAGGACAGTCTCGCTAGTCTCCTTGTTGGTGCCGATGCTGAGGTAGAAGTAGCCGAGATCGCCAACCTTGAAGGCGGTGGACAGGGACTTCTCGACCTTGACGGAGACCTTGGCCTCCTCGACACCAATCGGAGCCTGGGGGTTAAGGCGGAACTGCTGGAGCATCTTATCGGCAGTGATGGCGACCACGCGGTCAGTGGTGGAGACATCAGCCACAACACGACGACGCAAGACGTTGTAGTGGTCATTGAGCTCGGCCTCGGAGTCGTAGCGAGTAATGTGGAGCTTGTCGTCGAGAAGCATCAGCTCGCGCTCCGAGGTCCACAAAGCGCTGTAAGCGGGGATCTTGTCCTTCCAACCGTCAGCAATGTGCAGGCGCAGCAGCTGCTCGGCCAGAACGGTGGCGTGCTGGTCGATCTTGACCTTGCCCTCGATGTTAAACATCTGGCAGTGAAGGTGAGGAATCTCGATCAACAAGCAGCGGACGACACCCTTCATGACGTTGGCATAAGGGTTGTCGCCGTTGGCACCGCGCGTGGCCCAGACAATATAACGTGAGCGGAAGAACAGAGTCTGCAGGGCCTTGTACTTCTGGTCAGTCAGATCTTGGAAGAAGGGCTCGTCGAGCTCAGTGAGCGAAAGCACAAGAGGCCTAGATGCCAGCATGGATGACTTGAGCTCATGCATGCTCTGAATGGACGTGATGTTGCCGCAGTACTGGGCGAGGGCGTTCTTGATGTTGTGGATCATGCGAGAGGTCTGGAAGCGGCGACCACCGATGAGGAGAATCTGGTCAATGGTTGTCTTGTTACCGGCAGTCAGAGGAGCACGGATGGCGTTGATTTGAGCGTCGACGGCCTGAGAGACGAAGACGCTGAAGGGGCTGATGGAGTCCGGAGTGACAGAGTCGATGCCGGAAAAGCCAGCATCCTGAAGCAGAGCATCGTATTCAGACAGCTCGGGAACCTCAGTCTGCGACGCCAAGCTGGCCACGGTCAGGCGGACGTGGGCAGCACTGGCGTTGGTGATCTGCTGGACAAAGAGGAAACCACCAGGTCTGGTAAGCCAACGCAGCTTCTGGAGGGTCTGAGCATGGTCCTGCACATTGTGGAGGCCGGCGGGGGCAATAATAAGATCAAAGCTGGCGGCAGAGAAGCCCTGCTCCTCGAGGTCCTGGTCCAAGTCGAGGGTCTGGGTGAAGAGGTCATCACCGTGCTCCTTGTGAAGGGCCTCGAAGTGCTCATCAGTCGAGTCAGTGACGGTGTAGGCGGAGCACAAAGCACCGAGAGTCTCCAGAAGAGGCTTGGTAGCGGCACCGTTGCCGGCGCTGAGCTCCATAATGCGCATGTGAGGGTAGCGGCGGGAGATCTGGTGAACAAGCGAGATCAAAGAGCTACGAGCCTCAGCAGCACCGAACGCCGAGGCATAGAACTTGTTCAGCAAGCCGGACTCGCCCGAGCCAAGGGCCTTGAGGACAGCAAGGTCGCCAGCGGAAGCCTCATCAACATTGGCGTTAGATCTGTCATTCTGCTCAGCGGAGGCGTCAGTGCCAGCAACCTTAAGGACACCCTGGGCCCAGGTACGCAGATGCGCATGCTCGGAGTTCCCAGGGGCAACCATCTTCCGGAGCTCCTGGTGCGCGAGACGGTCGAGAAGCTGGTGCTCCTGCTCCTGATCGGTGGTGATTGAGACAGGCTTGGCCACGGCCTCAGCGTCAGGAGTGCTAAGCCAGCGGCTAGTGTGGCCAAACATGTGGCGGTCGTCCTTGGCTGTAGGGGGAGCCACGGGGCTGACCTGCATTCCCTCAACCTGGCACAGGGAGTGGTCGCTGTGGACAGGGAAGATGTCAACACTCCCGGAGAAGGTACCATCATCAGCGCGGTTGGAGGTAGCCGAGAAGCGAACCTTCTCGTCAAGGCCGCCTTTCATCGGACAGATGACAGGGTTGATGACGACGCGGCGGATAGTGGTGGGAATGTGCAGAGCCCACAGTGCGCCGTCTCCGGGATAGCTAATCGCGGCAAAGATAGCCTGGAAGGCAACGTCAAGAGTGGACGGGTGCAGCAAGAACTCGTCCATGGGGCCGCTCTGGCTGGCAGTAGAGGTGATGATCTCACCCTGAGCCAGGTCACAGCATCGGCTCATGGAGGTGATACCCTTGAAGAGGTCGGCGTAGTTGTAGCCGATGGAGGCGAGATAGGCGTAAAACTCCTCACAATTGACGTCCAGCATGCCGAGGCCAGCCTCCTTGGGGTACTCGACCAGGGCCGAGGAAGAGGGAGTGCCGAGGCTCATGATGAGCTTACCGCTGGCGATAGAGGTGAAGACATCAGAGCCCTTCTGCAGACAGGCATCGCAAGCAAAGTTGGCAGTGACAGTAGAGGTGTCTGCACCCGTTTGGACAGAAGTGACATTGGACAGAGTGAAGAGGGTCTCGATACCCTTGTCCTCGTTGACAGCCAGGGCACGGTGGATCTGGGAGTTCTGCAGCTCAATGGCGTGGATGGCCTGGTCACGGCCGACGATGCGAGCAGCCTCAACAGCCATCAAGAGGAAACCAGCGGCAGGGAACAAGGTCTGGCCCTGGATGCTGTGGCCAGAGAGCCAGGGGATCTCCTTGGAGCTGATGTAGTTGCGCCAGCGGTACTCGCGCTCATTGATGGAGTCGGTGCGTGTACCGAGCAGGACATGAGCGGGGTCGTGACGAAGGCGGTTGACGCGCGACTTGCGAGCCTCGTACCAGAACAGACGGTCGCGGTTCCAGGGGTAGCTGGGAAGCTCCTGGAGAATGGTAGGAATGCTCGAGGAGAACACCTGCGAGTAAGCCTTCCAGTCGGCGGAGCTGCGGCCAAACTGGGCCCACAGGTAACCAAGGGTAGAGGCCACGGCATTGACATCGTTCTGGCCACGCGTAAAGGTGCCGGTGTAAGGCAGCGCAGCCTTGACCACTTCCTCGATAACGTTGGAGGCAGGGCCCTTGAGGGCGGCGTGGGGACCGACTTCAATGACCTGGGTGGGCTGAGGTACGGTATTGGTGAGAGCAGACTTAAGGGACGTAGCAAACAGAACAATGTTGACCATGTTGTCGACCCAGTAAGTGTGCTTGAGCTCCTCGCAAGGCTCCATCAGCTTGCCGTCGTACACAGACGAGTACCACTTGGTCTCACCAGAGGGCTTGAGGATCTGAACCTTGCAGTTGTTAAGAGCCTCATAGTACTTGGCGGAGCAGGGGATCATGTGGTGCGAGTGGTACGCGGTGTCAACCTTGAGCTGACGGTTGAAGACGCGCTCGTCGTCCAAGACCTCCTTGACCTCCTCAATGGCATCAAGGTCACCGGAGAGGGTGACGCTGGCGTCGGAGTTGTATGCGGCGACGGAGACGCGACCCTCAAAAGCGGGGAGCTCGACAAGCTCGCGAGCATCCTCAAGAGTAGTACCAACAGCCAACATACCACCCTTCTGGCCGTCAGGACCCTTCGCCATGAAGGCGTAGCGACCACGGTAGAACGCAATGCGAATGGCATCAGTGGCGCTGAAGAATCCGGCGGCATACGCGGCACCAATCTCACCACTGGAGTGGCCGACGACAACGTCGAAAGTGATGCCGGCCAGCTTGAGCACCTCGACCAGGACGACCTGAACGGCCGTGCACAGCGGCTGGGATAGCTCACCCTCAGCAATGCGAGACTGGGCCGGGTCAGCCATCAGCTGCTCCATGATAGACCAGGACGGGCGGTCAGAGGCAGGGAGCTCGGCGAGGGACTGCTCAAGCTTGCCAATGATGTCCTGGGCGAGCTTGGAGGCGCGGATCAGCTCACGACCCATGGTCGCCCACTGAGCGCCCTGACCGGTGAAGACACCGAGTAGGTGCTTCTTGGCTGAAGTACCGCGGACGATGCTGGCCGAGTTGCCAGACTCCTGCTCCTCAACAGCGTTCTGTAGCTTGGGCAAGATCTCCTCGATCGACTGGCCAGTAATGTGGCTGCGGTACGCAAAGGTGGAACGGCGGTCGTGCAGGGTGAAGGCCAGACTGGTGAGGTCGGCATCGGGGTTCTCAGTCAGGTACTCTAGGTACTTGGCCATGAGGTTGGTGAGAGACTTCTCTGAGGTGGCAGAAAAGGTGAGGGGCAAGGCGATAGCAGCCTTGGCTGCAGGCTCAGCCGGCACGGGAGAGATATCGGGCTCGTACGCTTCAATGATGGCGTGAGCGTTGGTGCCACCGAAACCAAAGGAGTTGATGGAGGCACGGCGAACGGCGCCGGCGGGCAGTGCGGGCCAGTCCTGCGCAGTCTTGGCGATTTGCAGCTTCCCGTAGTACGGGACAATCTCTGGGTTGAGGGTCTTGAGATGCAAGTTTGGCGGGATGGTCTTGTTCTGGATGGCAAGGGAGGCCTTCATGACACCGGCGATACCGGCGGTACCCTCGGTGTGGCCGATGATGGTTTTGATGGAGCCAACCCACAGACTCTCGTCAGTAGCCTGACCCTCGGGGAAGAAGGCGTGGTAGATGGCCTTGGACTCGACGCCGTCACCAGCCTTGGTACCAGTGCCGTGAGCCTCAAAGTACTGAGGACGGTCCTCGGGCTTGCTCAGGTCCAAGCCGGCACGACGGTAGGTGTCGCGAATCAGCTTGGTCTGAGCCTCATGGCTGGGCATGGTGATACCGGGAGTGTGACCGTCCTGGTTGCAGCCCGTCTCGCGAATGATGCACTCAATGTGGTCACCGTCCCTGATTGCGTCGGACAGACGCTTCATGATAACAGCGGCGATACCCTCACCACGGGCGTAACCGTCGGCATTAGCATCCCACATCTGGGACTTGCCCGTGGGGGAAAGCATGTTAAGGTTCGACTCGGCGATGAACATGTCTTTGGTCCGAAGATTAGCAAAGTTTCTCAAAGGCTTTGGTGGCAAGATGGATCGTTAGGAGGCACATACTCGGGCTGAAAATCAAGTTGGCACCGGCGGCCACGGCGACGTTGGAGTTTCCGCTGCGCAGAACCTGAACCGCCTGATGGATAGCGACCAGGGACGACGAGCAGGCCGTGTCAATGGTCATCGACGGACCCCGCCAGTCGAAGGTGAAAGAGACACGGTTGGACAGAATGCTACGGGCCGTGCCGGTGGCAGCGTAGGTGGGAACCGCCTCCTGGTCGACGTAGCAAATGTTGCCGTAGTCGTCACACATGACACCGACGTAGACGGCCGTATCTGAGCCACGCAGGTCCTCGAGCACCAGGCCAGCGGATTCGACGGCTTCGTATACCGTCTCGAGGACTGTGCGCTGCTGGGGGTCGATGGAATCGGCCTCACCAGGGGGGATGTTGAAGAACTGAGCATCGAAGTAGCAGGGGTCTTCGGACAGAAGGTAGGCCTCACGGACGTTGCTGGCGCCGTGGTAGTGACCATTTTGGTGATAGAAGCTCGAGGCCGCGAAACGGTCGATGGGCCGGGCCACCTCACGCGGCTCCTTGAGCAGTTCCCATAGCTTGGAAGGGGATGTGGCATCCCCAGGGAATCGACAGGCGTTGCCAACAATGGCAATGGGCTCGTTTTGTGAAGGAGACATTTTGACGGTGATGAAAAATAAGGGTATAAGTGGGAGTGTGTATGTATATTGCTTGACTTGTCTGGTAGATGGAATAGAATAGAATCCAAGATGTTCAAGTAGCTAGACTCGACTCAAAAAGGCACGAAGAGACTTGGTACGACTTGTTGCACAACAGATCAAAAAGACTTGGTAAGATGTTGGTAGGCCTGGTGAGACTTGGTACAGATATTAGACCAGACAATGCTGAATGAAGGGGAAAGGGCTGAAGCCGCAAAGCGCTGACGATTAAGATCCACGAGGTGAGATGCCATGATGGATATATAGGTTTTATGTTTAGACCTGACCGCTTCAGATCAGGTCTCCATTGAGGGAGCCCATGCTCTCGCCGTGACACATTCCAGCTTACCTCACGAGCTCACCTTGGATGTCCGCGGATGAATCCTTGGCGTTTCCGTGACCCCTTTGATTGTGGAGGTGGTATCCCAATGAAGCAAGAACGACCTCAGGAACTAGCACTGGCGAGGTGATACAATGGATTGTATCCACAGATCGAATATCCCGGTATACCTCTGCGCCCCATAGGTACATGTATTCAGCTAAACAGGTAATGTACTAGTCCTAATTTGTGATTGTCAATATTGTCATATTTTTATTTTTCATTTTTCCATATCTTCTCTTTTAGAACTTCCTAATCCGTTCAATGTCGAGCGACCCGCAGTATAATTGCAATTCGGCGATGGAGAGGAATCCACGAGGCAACCTAAGGCTGCATTAGTCTGATCAGATTGTCCAGCTGCACCATTTACCTTTAGGGCTGCGAGCTCGGACGTTGACCGATAGGACACGGGCAAACGGGCGAACGGGCAAAAGGCGAATAGCGTCGGGATTTTAACCGAGATATGTGGGGCCCACCCCTGCTCCGCCGTACATACACAAGCCTTGCCGAGCCACCCCGCCAGTCTCGATGTACGATTAAGCATCGTGGGTAGATCCGAACCGTGCCTCTGCCAAGAACAGGGTATTGGATGCTCGGCACCAGGCTAACCTTGGAACTGTCGAAATGCAAAGATACTAACCTCGCCAGATGAGCATTCACGTACAGAGTACATACGTAACGTATATATGTAGGTACGTTGGTACGCTTCAAACTACTCCGTACTTCATCAAAGGTGAGCATTGTGCAGTCTAGTGTGCCGTCTAGCGGCCAAATCCTACCCGAGTTTTGGGGCCAAATCTGACAGGGGTGTTGGGGGCTAAATCCTTCAGGATTTTTGGGGCCAAATCCGACGGTATTCAGGTGCTTACTACTCTGTACGGAGTAGTGCTGACAACATTTGAAGGTAGTGCTGACAAGGGCTGATTGTTAAACCGTGCATGAATGCATGGGAAATTAGATTGCCTCCACATCAGCGGTCCATCCATCTATTCTTCGCCCCAGTTCAACATTGGTTTCCCTAATGTCCCGATATGGATCTATTTTCCCGCCATGGATTGCCCACCTGCATGTCATCTGTGCTTGTCTTCATCAAGCTACGTCCAAATATGATTCTCATTTACAAACCCACAGAGGTACACGCACCCCTGTGTCAGCCATCTCCCCCACATAACTATTTCACTTTGGGCCATATATCCCGCCTTGGCACTATGTTTCTTTTTTGAGACCACAGCTTCATCCTTTTTCCTTGCTAACCCGTGCGGCCATCTCTTGACTTGCCATAATGGGAATGTGGACTGGTTTGCCCAGAGTAAAGTGACCCGAGTGCGACGGCCAGACGGGACGGTGACGGGAACCGAGCAAGCCAATCCTCAGGAGAGAGAAGAGCTTGCCTTTTTTCCCCATCTCAGCCCCCACTCCGAGCCACACTTGTACAAGATCGTGCTCGGTGTATATAGATCTAGCAGTGGACAACTACCGTGTGAAAAGACATGTCGATATTGTTGTGATCAAGATATTAGGTACCAGTTTAATGCTAACGCTGGTTTACGACTATAAACTATTCCCATACTTCTTTCTCTCCTCTTGCCATTTCCAATAATTCTTTTCTTTCTCTTCCTGGCCAATCAACAACAACAAGGAGAACAGCAGCAACTTCACGACTCACCACCATCCTTCACAATGACCGTCTCCATTCCCAAGATCTCCATTCCCAAGACGCAGACGGCCATCATCGCTGCTGACGAGGATGGCACTCTCCGCATCTCGCACGATGTGCCCGTAATTGAGCTAGAGCCGGATTCCGTGCTGGTCAAGACGGCCGCGCTGGCCCTCAACCCCGTCGACTCCAAGATGGCCAAGGGCTTCGCTGTGCCCAACGCCATTCTCGGCTTCGACTTTGCTGGCGTCGTTGTGGCCATTGGCACCGGTGTCACCAGGCAAGACCTCAAGGTAGGGGACCGGGTACTGGGCACTGCAGACAGCATGGACCGGAAGAGGCCTAGTGGCGGCGGCTTCTGCCAGTTCGCCTCGACTGTGGCCACCCAGGCTCTGCGTCTGCCGGATAACATGTCCTTCACCGATGCCGCTTGCATAGGCACATCACTGTCGTCTGCAGGCATTGCCCTGTTTCGCTCTATGAAGGTGCCCGGGTCATTGACCGTGCCCAACTCGGCCGCCAGTCCGCCCTACGTGCTCGTTAACGGTGGTAGCACCTCAACGGGCACTATGGCCCTACAGCTGCTCAAGTTGGCTGGCTTCCGGCCCATTGCTACCTGCTCGCCGTCGCACGAGGAGCTAGTTCTCTCCTACGGCGCCGAGAAGACATTTGACTACCGGTCCCCCGACTGCGCCAAGGACATCAAGTCTTACACCAAGAACTCCCTGGCCTACGCCATTGACTGCATCACCGTCAATTCGTCCATGAAGCTGTGCTACGAGGCCATTGGCCGTGCGGGCGGCCGTTACACGGCGCTGGACCCGTACCCCGAGGCGCAGGCCACTCGCAAGGTTGTCAAGCCCGACTGGATTCTGGGCTCCACCGTCAAGGGTCGTGGCAGTGGCTGGGTGGCCCCCTACGGGCGGGACGCCGACCCCGATGCGCGTATTTTTGCCGACGAGCTCTACGGCGGCGCCCAGAAACACCTGCTTGAGGGCAAGCTCAAGAACCACCCTGCCAAGGTCATGTCGGGCGAGTTTACCGGCATCCTGGAAGGATTGGAGATGATTCGGAGAAAGGAGGTCAGCGGTTTCAAGCTCGTTTACGAGGTGAATTAGTAGAGTCGAACTTTGGGGTATAAGCCGTTGCTCTTCTTTTCTTTTTTCTATTTGTTTTTCTTTTCTTTTTTTTTTTTTTTTTTTTTTTACGGGGCTACTCTTTCAAGGGCCTTTAGGGGAAGGGCGCTGTTTTAGGTGCTGAATGGTGATGATCTTGAGACTATATGCTAACAACAAACTTATTTAATAAGTTGGCCGTTGGGGTCGGAGGAATCTCTCGTGGCTTGAATCTTTTTCTCCATTTTTATCTGATTGATGAGCGTTGCCTTTGGTCCTTTTTTTTTTTTTGCGTTTGACAATAGTACATAGAAACAGTCAAGAAAATCAAAATCAAGCAAGTCGTGTGAATTAAGTCCTTGTACCGTTTGGTAGTATCTCAAAACGGCCAGCAATATCGTGCCGCGTCCAAGTAGAGTAGTGATACGCCACTATGAGTCCGACTCGCGAAGCAGTGCTCAGGGGGTTTGGAAGAGTCGGAGTTTCCGATTTCTTACACCTGTGCCTTAATCCAGTGTCTCAACTTGGACTAGGAGAGATGGAGTACTAAAAGCCAACTCATGTGACATATAGCCTTCTATGCCGTCTGCACTATTTTCTCTCAAGGGGATTCATGCCTTCTTGAGAGGACCCTATTCTTAGCCTTCCAAGTACCCGTATTTTCGAAGATGGTATACCCAATAACAAGCGTTGATTGACGTGTTTTCATAATTTCATTTGTCCACACAGAATCAGCTCTTATTTCTATAAGTCTTCCAAGATATCTCTCACCGGGCGACATGGCTCATCTGAGTCATCTCCCATGCCCTTTCCTTGTAATGTTGTCTGAACCCATTCTTTTGACTCTTATTGGACGGCTAGGCGAGTCTGACTAGAGGTATCCCGTCCAACGCTCGGGATATCATCGTAAGTTGACTCAGTTGCCTTGCCACAAGTGGATATATGTTCCTTCTCAACGGTGCCTGCGTTTATTGGCAATCGGAACAACAGTAACTTGTTGGTCGATCCACTTATGAAGCCGATTATATTACAATAGCGAATATGAGTTATAAAACAAGCTATCTTCGACGCTTAATTGCCGATCTGCAGTACATACCAAGGCTTGGCAGGATCAGATCCTTGGTTGGGTCCTGCAGTGCCAAGGCTTGGCAGCACCAGAACCTTGGTTCGGTCCTGCAGTGCTACGGCGGGAGTGCTGCAACACTGTAAACAGTACAAGTATGATGCAAAAATACAGTATATCACATACATAGGTAGATAAAAATATACAATTTAGTGGTTATCCCTATAAACGCGTATCTTATTGATATTTAAACAATTATACATAGTACTCTTTATTGTTTATATATAAAATCGCGTCAAACAATACGTTAGTAGTATATTCTAGAAGTATATATGAAAAGTTGAAGTAATATAGAATCTCAAGTTGAAATATATACTCCGTATATATATATAGAAAAGCCAACGCATACCTACCTACCTAGGTAGGTATGGAACATTCATTATTAAGTTTTTATGGGTCTCTATCTAAGTTAGAGAACTAACCTTGGAATGTATTTTCCTATTACATTTGAATTGCATTTGTATATTGCATTTGTATAGTCTGACGAGACTTTCTCGAATGGCAACTGTTTCCCTCACGTGGCTTGAACTCCACGTGACAAGACCGTCTTGGCTACCCGATAACAACCTGGGAATGGATCATCTTTACACATCATACCAACTTCGAAGGTTGTACTCTCCGTACCATGTACCACGATGGCTGCCTTTCCGGTTTAGCCGTCGGGCGCTAATAAATTGTGTGTGGGTG